GGAGGTGACATGGGGTGGAGGTGACACACGGGGCGGTGACATGGCGTGGAGGTGACACAGGGGTGGAGGTGGCACACGGGATGGTGACATGGAGGTGACATGGGGTGGAGGTGACACACGGGGTGGTAGGGGTGACATAGGATGGGGGTGACATGGGGTGGAGGTGACACGGGGTGGAGGTGACACGGGGTGGAGGTGACACGCGGGGCGCTGACGCGGCGCGGTGTTGCCAGGCGCGGTGTTGCCAGGCGCGGTGCCGGCGGTGCCGCGTGCCACTACCTGCGCGGCGCGCCGTCGTCGTGGGGGGGCACGATGACCACCTTGACGGTGACGGAGGTGCGCAGCAGGTCGATCATCTGCTCGTGGCTCAGCGTCACCACGGCCACCTTGCAGATCTCCACCAGCCGGCTGCCCTGCCGCAGCCCCGCCTGCCACGCGAAGCCGTAGTCCTCCACCTCGGCCACCGTGCCGTCGTACTTCACGTGGAAGCCCAGCTGGCCCAGCCCGTTGCGTCGCAGGGTCATGTCCACCGTGTCGCAGCCCGGCGTCGTCACCTGGGGGGTGGGGTGGAAACGGGGGGTGTCGGCGGAGACCCCCGGCCCGGGGGAGGGGGGGGAGCTGGGATCCGTTGCTCGCGGCGCAGAGCGGGCGGTGGTTGGTTGGGTGGTTGGGTTGGGAGGGTGGGGGCTGGTGGTCGGTTGTTGGTTGGCCACCGGGCAACTGTTGGTCAATGGTTGGTCAGTCATTGGTCAAGCGTTGGTCAACTGGTGGTCAGTCATTGGTCAATGGTTGGCCAACCATTGGTCAACTGGTGGTCAGTCATTGGCCAATTGCTGGCCAACCATTGGTCAACTGGTGGTCAGTCATTGGCCAATTGTTGGCCAACCATTGGTCAACTGGTGGTCAGTCATTGGCCAATTGTTGGCCAACCATTGGTCAACTGGTGGTCAGTCATTGGTCAACCAGTGGTCAGTCATTGGTCAATGGTTGGCCAACCACTGGTGAACTGTTGGTCAATCATTGGTCAATCGTTGGTCAAGCATTCATCAACTATTGGTCAATCACTGGTCAACCATTGGTCAATCGTTGGTCAACCACTGGTCAACCCATGGCCAACCATTGGTCAACAATTCATCAACTGTTGGTCAACCACAATTCAATGGTTGGCCAACCAATCGCCAACCACTGGCCAACCACTGGCCAACCACTGGCCAACCACTCATTAACTGCTGGTCAACCCTTGGCTAACCGTTGGACAACCCACAGTCAACCACTGGCCGACCATTGGCCACCACTCAGCCATTGCCCAACCACTCAACCATTGGTCAACCCATGGCCAACCATTGGCCAACCACTCAACCACTGGCCAACCACTGGCTGACCATTGGCCAACGACTCAACCATTGACCAACCCATGGCCAATCACTCAACCACTGGCCAACCATTGGCCAATGACTCAACCACTGGCCAACCACTGGCCCACCATTGGCCAACCACTCAACCACTGGCCAACCACTGGCTGACCACTGGCCAACGACTCAATCATTGGTGAACCACTGGCCAACCACTCAACCACTGGTCAACCCATGGCCAACCACTCAACTATTGGCCAACCACTGGCCAACCACTGGCTGACCATTGGCCAACAACTCAACCACTGGCCAACCATTGGCCAACCACTCAACTACTGGCCAACGATTGGCCAACCACTCAACCATTGCCCAACCACTCAACCACTGGCCAACCACTGGCCAACCATTGGCCAACCACTCAACCATTGCCCAACCACTCAACTATTGGCCAACCCATGGCCAACCATTGGTCAACCACTCAACCACTGGCCAACCACTGGCCAACCACTGGCCAACCACTGGCCAACCACTCAACCACTGGCCAACCACTGGCCGACCATTGGCCAACGACTCAACCATTGGTGAATCACTGGCCAACCACTCAACCACTGGCCCACCATTGGCCAACCACTCAACCGTTGCCCAACCACTCAACCAGTGGTCAACCCACGGCCAACCATTGGCCAACGACTCAACCACTGGTGAACCACTGGCCAACCACTCAACCACTGGCCAACGACTCAACCGCTGCCCAACCAGGACCCTCAGCGCCACCTGAGCAGCACGATTTGCCCTCCCCCGATTCCCCACATCCACCCCACCCCCCAGAAGACCCCGCGCATCCCCCTCCCCGCAGACCTTCAACCTCTGCACGATCTCCCTGACGTCATCCGGCCCCCCGTCGGCCGCCCGCACGCAGACGTGATCCCCGCGCCCGTAGAAGAGCTTCAGGTTGGCGCCGTCGGCCGTCCAGCCGATGACGTCCGCGCAGAAGCAATTGAAGACCACCTCCTTGGCCCCCAGGTCCAGCAGCACCACGAACTCGTTGGAGACGCCCAGGATGCAGGAAATTTCCTCCCCGCGGGCGAAATCCTGCGCCCAGACGCGCCAGGCGATGGCCCCGGCGCTGCGCAGCTCCGCTCCCACCCTGCCTTTGCTTTTCTCTTTCTTTTTGGACGCCAAGGAGATGAGGTTGAATTTCCCGGCCGAGTCCAGGGGGGTGTTGGTGACGAAATTCTCCGCCAGGTCCTGCAGGTATTCGCGCCGCGTCCGCGTGGCCATGGCGTGGAACTTGTCCGACTTGTGAGCCGCGTTCTCCGCGTTGATGGCTTTGGCCAGCAGGAAATCGCGGAAGGCGTCGGACTTGCGGAAGGGAACCCCGCTGGGGATGGGGGGCCCGAAGGGGGGGACGTCCTTGGAGCGGGTGACGGCCACGCTGCGGGGCGGGGGGGCGGAAAGAGAGAGGTGAGACCCCCGGCGTGGCAGTGGGGAGACAAGTCCAGCCCGTGGAGGTCAGGAGTCGCCCCACGGATGCTGAAATTTGCCCCATGGATGTCAGGATTTGCCCCCATGGATGTCCGGATTTGCCTCCATGGATGCTGAAATTTGCCCCCTGGATGTCAGGATTTGCCCCCATGGATGTCAGGATTCGCCCCAAGGATGCCAAAATTTGCCCCCTGGATGTCAGGATTTGCCTCCATGGATGCTGAAATTTGCCCCATGGATGCCAGGATTTGCCCCCATGGGTGTCAGGATTTGCCTCCATAGATGCCAAAATTTGCCCCATGGATGTCAGGATTTGCCCCCATGGATGTCAGGATTTGCTTCCATAGATGCCGAAATTTGCCCCAACAGATGTCAGGATTCACCCCACAGATGCTGAAATTTGCCCCCTGGATGTCAGGATTCGCCCCACGGATGCCCAAATTTGCCCCCATGGATGTCAGGATTTGCCCCCATGGATGCCAAAATTTGCCCCATGGATGTCAGGATTCGCCCCACGGATGTCAGGATTCGCCCCACGGATGCTGAAATTTGCCCCCTGGATGTCAGGATTTGCCCCCATGGGTGTCAGGATTCGCCCCCACGGATGCCCAAAATTCACCCCTATGGATGTCAGAAACGACCTCAAATCATCAGAAATGACCCCAAATGAGCAGAAATGACCCCAAATCACCAGAAACGACCCCAAA